ATGATGCAACATGTTAACGAACCTCGTAAATCATGTAGAGGGAAAACGCCACAATGCTGAAGTTATAGATGATCATTGTACGCTTGAGGTCAAAGGGCTTGCAGTTTTCCATCAGCCGAGGCCCCAGCGATGTCACAAAGTAGATGTAAGCAGCGATTATGAATGTTTGAGGGAAAGGGGAGGCCATAAGCAGCCAGTTCTCGGTCCGTGGATCTACAAGCGAGGCAAAAGACGTCTTATTTCCCAGCCAATTACAGAAACCTTACACAAACATGCTGTCGGTGCAAACTCACCTGCTTCCTTAACCCACTCATCATAGTGCAACACAGCTCTTGAGGTCAGTGTGTTGAAAGCCATATCCAAGGAGTCTTTAGGTTTCTCTTCTGGTGGAAAAAAAGAAGAGCAAATTATTAAGGAGATATTTAAATAAGCTTACTTGTAAACCAAATTAACCCGGTTAATGCTTTCTAGCTATAATGTAGCACAGCTTTCCCCTTTCCCATGCAAACAAGGTTACAAATCAAGCTTGTGCCATAAACCTTCAAATTAATCAAGGGGGATTATAAAGACTTTCCCAAACTCTCACATGGAGCACACTTGCTATTGATGCCACTCCCAAAGAAACGAACCATCCAAACCACTCCCAAACACAACTGGAAAGACGTGAAACCCCAGGAGATTCCACTGATTTTTAGCATTTGAACTCAAAATAACACATCTAAACTTTAGAACAGCACAAAACGTATTCCCAAACAGCCAGGTGCACTTCAACGGGAAATCCTGAAATCTAATTAATACGAATCCTGGTGTGACTCCAACTAAAAAGCAAAAACTTAAACCTTAAAACCCGAAGACGTGCTCCTTCCACGCTCTCCCTCGTTCGCTCGGGTAGCTTACTGGTATCAATCGCACGACTCGCTTAAACCTGCAGAACTTATACACCTGTAACTGTGGCTCCTCCCACAATTATTCATATATGGAGGTTCCGTCCCATGAAACTTCCGGAATTTAGGTCGAAACTTTGGGACACGCGCACATTGGTGTTTCCACGGTGACCTGTATGAAAATATGAGCGGAACGCTGTACGAATGTCAACAGCAGGTGTGTGGCTTAATTTGGGAAATGGTGGACGGTGTACAAAATATGCTGACAGAAGATGTTTTCAATGTGAACTTAACGGAAAAAAATGCGTTTTTAGAATCAACAGGAAAACGGGGATAGTTGTCATGCTTGTGATATTTGTATGAATATTTCGCAGGGTGGGGTCATCCTAGAAGGTCAAGACACAAAAACCTAAATTATTTTATATAAGGTCAAGATTATATTAAATATTGAACACTGCTATTGCCCAGGGGGAAAGACACACGTTGACCTTTTGTGACAACATGCGCCTATTTTACCCAACTGATAATACAAATATATCTGATACTAGAATTTAGCTTAAAAGACAGAATTTTGAAAAATTATAATAGCCTAATAATACTAAAACTGTAGTATTTAATACTTATAATTTATAATATTAAATATTATATAACATTTTCTAAAAATAGGTTTTTAAAATTCAACATTGAGATTAATCAAGTACAATGAGAAATGCAGAATAAAACATTGCGGCAATAAGGGGGAATGTAGCAATAAAACTAGGCTTTTTTTCCCCCCATTAAGCATCATTTATTTATTTTGAATTGTTATTTTGAGGTGAAATGTTTGTGTGTGATTCACCCTTGTAGTGCTGTTGACTTCCATCACCCTGGTTTCAGTTTCAGGGCTGGGTCACCGCATCAGTGAAGACAATGAAATGCCTGAATGAGCAGCGGGGTTCTGTTGCTTTCAGAGTCATTATTGCACAATAGAGGAGTCGTACACCGTTGGGTGTGAATAATAAAACTAAGCTACGAGTGGAAAAAGGAGGGTGTATGTTAACCAGAGAAAAGAAGTGAAAATACAGGCCCAGTGATCCCAGTGTTTCTATATGGCTTCGTAATGTTTGTCATCATAATTAGTAAATGCGTTATGCAAACACATGTTTTGTAAAATGATCATTGTGAAGGAATGCTTCTATTAAACTGCTGGCCCTTTAAATTTGGTTTCATAATCATTACATATAAAAACAAAAATTCAATGTGATCAAGATCGAATGCATTAGCTACCCTTACCAAAAAGTAGTATACTTCAAGTTTATTTTAAGTATACTTAAGTAAAGTTCAAGTATATTTTAAGTATACTTTATGTAGCAAGTATACAAATATCAGTGTACTAGTAGTATACTTGTGAGTGTACTATTTCAATTCTCCTTGGGACTAAATTGGCCCACTTTCTAGTAAATAAAAGTATACTTTTAAGTATACTTTAAGTATAACAGTAGTAAACTTTAAGTACACAACTAGTTTACAACAATATTTTTAGCTTGTACTGCAACTATACTAAAAATGAACTTATAGGTATACTGATAGTTTTCTAATTAAATACTTGTAGTAGAATCTTTAGTACACTTTGAAGTATAATCTCAGTAAACTACTAGTTTAGTAGTTTTATTCTGCAAGTATACTCGTAAGTTTTCTTTAAGTGAACTTTACATCATACTTTAAGTATACTACTATGTCCCTATTTAGGTATTCATTTGTATATATTTTGTTATATAAATATCTGAACATACAAAACACCAAAAGAAAGAACAGGGTATCTGCTTGTAAAAAAAAACATTTTATTCTAGCTTCATGCATTCTTTTTTTAAACACTTGAATGTGGGTAAGTTTCATAAATAATAATAAAAAAGTAGCTCAAATATATTTAGACTTTTTCTAAGTAGGCTCATAATAAGTCTAATAAGTCAAGTATACTTAAATGTCATTTTAAGTATATTTCTGAGAAGTACATAAAGCCCATTTCTGAGAAGTACATAAAAAGTAGACTAAAAGTATACTTTCCTATTTTTTAGTTTAAAAGAAGTATACTAATAGCACACTTGAATAAACATATTTTTCGTAAGGGTAATTTAAAAACAAAATGCAAGTGCAGAATGAATGCAAGATCTTTTTAATAAGCTTTTGAGAGATTTATATTTCGTTTTGGATCTCATGATTTCAAGAATGCACACTTAAGCATGTTTTTTGAAGGTGTTGAGCAACACAACAGCATGTGAAACCCTGAAGCATTTCGGTCCAGACAGATCTGGTTTTTCATACAAAAATGATGCCACTTTGATAAATCATTATGTCAGGTTGTATTTCAAATGCTCACTTTCTTACATATTTTATCTTCAGTTTCTATAAAGTAAGTTAAATAAGTTATTTGCATAATTATCCTAGCCAGGCAAGTGGAAGATGAGAAGATGAGGCTCCAAAATTGGTCTTACGAACTGAGAAAACGTCTATTGTATTAGTGCATGTTGTGCAGTTTGACCTGGAAACTTACTGACTTTGCTCATACATGGTATTCAACTTCCCCAAAAATATTTGATAGTTTTTCAATCTTTTTGGATTCAATCTTCATATCAGCTTGTTTTCTTTCAATTAGCACAGGTTTTGTATTTCTTTCTGGAACTGATTGATCGTAGGCCTCATTGATCTGAGCTCATGTGTCTCAGTTTTGGAGTGAATATTGCCAAAATTATCCACAAATAATGCTTTTTTTCACTCAAAAACTGAAGTGTGTGAACTCAGATCAATGAGGCCTACAGTCAGTTCCAAAAAGAAATACAAAACCTGTGCTAATTGAAAATTTCTTTCAGTGATTTTTGGCTATAGGAACACCGAATTAAGTAAAGGATTATCAGTCCAGCACAAAGGTTAAAGAACCCAGGAGGGCTTCACGTTTCATAGATGATACCTGGAACAGATCTAAACACTACAATGTGACAGAAAGAACATTTTATCTCCAAAGAATTATATAGCTCAACCTAAGAACCAGTGTTGCCAATTTAGCTACTTTGTAGCTAGATTTAGCGACTTCCCTGCCCCTTTTGAGACTTTTTTCAAAAGTTTAGGGACAAATATAGCAACTTCTTGGACAAACCTTATCTAAGTTCTCATCTTGCCCACTGATCTACGTTCATCTTTATATAGATCAGTGAATTTGCCATTGTGATGTCATCTAGTGACATTTAGCTACCAGTTTTAGCTACTTTCAATTGAAAGCAGTTGGCAACACTGCTAAGTACCCAATGGACCTTTTTCACATTTCCGGGTTTCTCAGCAGCGGAAGTCGTCATAGTTGGGTTATCTTGAATAGCAGTGAATGGGAGAGTACCACACATATATTTTTTGCATTCCCATTTGCTCAAATAGCAAAAGAAAAACTCCACGATAGTGTTTTCATGACTTTCAATAAAAGGAAAAAAATAGAAAGAGACTGAAAACGGCTGTCAGAAGAGAGAACGATGTCAAATTTACCATCCCTCCCATAGACGCTGCATTAGAAACACCCTCGCATTAACATTAACTGTTTTTGTTATTTGATGCAAAGGTGATATAATACAAAGAATAGTGTTATAAATGTACATACATTTAAAAATATATATATATATGAAAAACTTTCGAGGATTTACGATGCTGATGACCGTTAAACGCGTCATCACAGTCTTGTGAAAAGGGTCCAAAAACAGTTGTTGATGGAACATTTCTTTCGTCAAGTCAAGTTTGTTCACTTCCGAAATGACAGCGACACAAAAAATGTTGTAATAAAGTAGATCAATTCCATTGTGAAGGGCTCATCTGAATGAAGTGATTACAGAAACTTGGGTGTTGCTGTTCTGTGTGACTCAGTGAAACCGGCTAGTCGAGCTCTGGCAGGACAGAGCCAGAATTATCACTAAGTGCTTGTGTCCCGCTTATATATCCTCAAACTATTGTCTTATCATCTAGTATCAGGGGTTTCAATCAGGGGTTCGTGGAGATTATGTATACATAGATATAGGCACTAATACAGATAATAATATACAATAGGCCTATATATAATATTGTTTTCATTTTCATGACATTTCTAAATCAGTACCTGGGTCTTCAAAGGTTGAAAACCAAGAAGTCAAAAAGAGAATAGATCAAACTGTACGATGTAAAAATGATTTTTCGAAGTAGCAAAAAAAAAAAGATTATTGGAGTGTTTTACAAGAAAATACTATTTCATTCTTTCTCCAAATTTTAAGTTTAATTCAGTGTGTTACTTGCCATTTCTTTGTAATTATTTGTGAAATTTACTAGTACTTTCTAAGTGAAAATTGTTTCTACAACAATTTTTTTTTTCAGTGTATAATATAATTTTTGGATTAAATCAAAGTATAATATAATTTTTGGACTGGGTTTCAGTTTATAAATGCTATTAATAAAGTGTTCAGTTTTATGCCTGTTTTTTCTATGCTACACTTTTATCATCCTACTCGTATACGGTAAAATGATAACAATAAAAATAAAATAAGCACATATGTATTTCTGTGTACTTTACATCTCTCAGGGGTTGACATTCAGTGTGGTAAAGACCATTACAGAAACCCTTGTACAAACATGCATTATAGTTAGTGCAAACACTTCAAATAAACAAAGGTGGTTGTGACACCACAAAAACATGAAATATGTTGTTAATAAATCAGGCTCAGAGCGTAACTTTGGCCTGTTTTGTGACATCTTGTTAAACACAATAATAGTATGCTAAATAATGAGATGATACATCCCTGAAAGTGCTTTGAAGCCATTCATCATTTTTAGATAAACTTGCTCTTGGTTATTATGAATATTATATTATATTAAATATTTGGATAACTGAGCATCTTCACTTAAATACTTCTCAAATGCCGTAGGTTCGGTCTTAACCAATCAGCAAAGAGCACATTTCTTTGCCACATTGCATTTTAGAAGTGTATAAAAATCACCAAACAAAGGATAAACTACAGTAAAGCTATTGTATATACAAGCAATCAGAACACGGAGTAATTTAGGAAATGAATCATCAGAGGAGCATCAGATAAATGCAGTGTTGTTACACATAGATTCCCTGTGATTTGGTCTTATCAATGTCTATAATGCCTCAGAATGATAATGGTTTTTATTGGTTTAGGCAGCGATAAACTACTTAAACTCATAGAAATAATCAGTTTCTTAGACTTAAGCATCTTGAGTTGTACCTAACAAATTCATTCTGCTATACTGTAAATGACTGCATATGTGTTACGTAACATGTTATAAAGTTTTGTATTGCATATTAAAGGAATACTTCACCCAAAAATGAAAATCTGTCATAATTTATTCACCCTGAAGTTGTTCCAAACCTGTATGAGTTTTTGAGCGTTAAAGAAGTTATTTTGAAGAATGTTTGTTGCCAAACAGTTGACGGTAGCCATTGACCTCCATACATTTTTTTCCATACTATGGAAGTCAATGGCTACCATCAACTGTTTAGTTGCCAACATTCTTCAAAATATCTTCTGTTGAGCAGAAACGCATACAGTTTTGGAACAACTTGAGGATGAATGATCCCTTTTAAGTCTGACTAGATTTTTCTGAATATAGTTTGAGCAGAATTTGCTTCCATAATCTTATTAGGGTGTTCTGAGTGGTTGCCAAGGCATTGCTTGCGGTTGCTAAGGTGGGCTGAGTGAGTTTTCTAGCTCAAACCTTTGACCCTGAGTATGAACAACAGTAAATTGATGTAGTTTATTCCTGACCTGTCTCAGTATGTGCACTAGAGCGCACCAAACACTAGGTTTTCTTGATCTCTATATGATGCAGGGAACTCTCTTTATTTGCTATTCCATAATTACTCCTCCTGCTGTCCTACAAACACTCACTCACTAGTCTGGAAATATGAAGCTGTACTTTATTCCTGACAATTAATCTTGACAGCTCTCTTTTGAGTCAGGATTACGTTCATTGTGCGCTCTTCAAGCTACTCTGTGCTGTCTGGATGAACTCGTGTGTGTTCCAGCTGGGATTCTTTTATTTGCATTATGGTATTTTTTGGTTTGGAGTGATGCTGGTCTGTTATATAATGACATCGGGACACTCATAGGCTGGGAACATTTGAGTTCATGAGGATCAGGGGTCATTGTGAAAGAGAGAATCTGATCATGCATTAATGTGTCTACAACAGCAGTTCATCATCAGGACTGACAATTAACAGGGTTACTACCAAATTAAAACTGAATGAGACATCATGCTGGGGAATGGAGGGTTATATACGGTGAAGAAGAGGAAGAGACCCGCTCACAAGAGGTAAAAAGTTCGTTTAAATGAGTTTATTTTATTATTTTGTCAAGGCTACGATTTTCACAAGTGGATTTAAAATCTAAACGATAAAACATATGAGAAAGATTGTTTTGTTTATGTTTTTTTTTTAATTTTTTTATTGCGCGTCAACCTTCCTCGTGTTGAACTATCACTTCACACGTGAAATTCGGAGAAGGGGGGAGAGTGCAGTGTTGCCAAGTCCGCGGTTTTCCCACGGGTTGTTTTTCATGTCTGCAGGTTGAAGCGACCCCAATAACATGATATTTAGCCAATGGAAAGCGATTTTTACTGGGGGAGCCCCCCTCGGAAAGCCAGTTTTTAGGCTTGTTTTGAGTAGCAATTGGGCGGGTTTTGTTGTGAAAACCTGGCAACCCTGGCAGATTAGAGTGGGAGGGGCTACATTTACAACAAACACACACGCGTGGTTCCTAAACTGCATGGAACATACCATTACATTTAAAAAAGTGCCTCGAGCGCAATGTATTCAGGTTTCAGGTCCAAACCCCGGAATGTGTTTATTTGCATATCTATAAACTCAATAACATCGATTGGACGAATCTGCGCCATTTGAGGAAATGTTGGCAATTACATCTGCTCCAGTTTTTTAAAACACTCAAACGCAAAAATATCACCTTTTAATGCGCTTATCGCCGCTCGATAGGCGATTAACCAAACACTGAGCCTGAAAGTTTCTGTGATTATATAGAATTAATATGTAATTATCTAAGAATCCTCCTATTGCAAATGCTGTAATGGTAGAAACGAACCTTTTCAAAACTGCTGGTCAAAACTGTTTAAATGCAACAAAACCTCAGGCCACACCTGCAGAAAAAACACCCTTTACTCACCAATTGCAAAAATTTTATTGAAAATGTAATGTACTAAATGTAATTACAAATCATCAAAAAACATTAAATATGAAGCGTCTGTCTAATATGCGTTTCTTTTATTTAATTTGCATTGTTTTGTTTGTTTTATGGAGAGCTTGGCTAAAAAAACTATTAACTACTATCCCTGAAAGCACACGTACATCACAGAGATGTATGTTTTACGTCTGCAAGACGTATTTTTTTTAGAGTGTTTGTTCATCTGCAATATGTCTATAGGACGTTTTCTATCAGATGTTAAATAGACGTTTAGAAGAGGTCTTTAAGATGATTTAGAATGTATGTAAAACTGACATCTTAAAGACGTCTATCAGATGTTTGTACACAGCAGATGCTTTCCAGATGAAGCGATCTTTAACAGACATCTTGCAGACGTACCTGTGCTATCTGGGTTAGTAGATGTAAACAGTGTTTTATTTGGTTTCAAATGGCCTTCTGTGTGAACTGTGCAAGTTACACGGATATGAATTCTCAAGCCTGTCCACTGACTGTTCTTATTCTTGTAGTTGTGGCCTTGAGACTAAACATGACGACGGCACCAAATCAAATCCTTCAAAGCGTCACAGAGACCGGCTGAACGGGGAGCTGGGCAAACTGACGGTTCTTCTGCCGCTGCCAGAGGAGGTCCGAGCCCGACTGGACAAACTCAGTGTGCTCAGACTCAGTGTGGGATACCTCAAGATCAAAAACTACTTCACTGGTGAGTCTCAGAGAGATTCAGAGACATCTGCCTTCATGTCATGAAGGTCTGTGTATTCAGGGGAATATGTGAGTCATGGAGGTCAATGCATTATAAATGAAACTGTATTAATGAGTCTTTAGAGCAGGTGGCAGGTGCTGATTTTGTTCAGAGGTAACAGGAGAGCAAACTGACAGCATCATTTGCAGCTGCAGTCGTGCGGTATGACTTAGGTGGCATAATGATCCTTGCATTACCTTCTGCACAGCTATCAGAGTCCCTCTCAATGTCAGAGTAAAATAAAACATTTTCAAGAAACGAATGGATCATAAATGAGTTTGATTTTTCATAAAGAAAGTAAAGACTGTTATTGGGACCATTACGGTTTTATTTTTGGATGAAACATTATTTTCATGACAATTAAGCACATTTATACCCTCAATTCTTAGGCTACTGTGAAATTGCTGTTCTGTGAAAGTTCTGTATTGACGGGGAACCCGTCGAGCAGGTTATAATGTTCTGCTCCGGTTTTCAAGGAAGTTTGCTCATCTCACTGCCAAAGAGTTGAACAGACATTTGTTTCTCTGTGTAAAGCAATTGTTCCTGTCTGTCTGTGCCATCACATGTTCGCATGTATACACGTTTGTAACTGCATCTATATATTATATTTTGCTGTGCATATATGCAACAGTACATATCGGATGTCAACCGTTTTCTGAAATGTATTGTAATACACTGTAAAAAAAATTCTGTAAAATATACAGTAAAAAACCGGCAGCTGTGGTTGCCAGAATTTTACCGTAAATAATACTGTTTTTCACCGTATATAGTAGGGGAATTTACCGTTAACCATTTAACAGGTTTTTACTGTAGCATTTTTACAGTCTTTTACCATTAAATTCACGGTCATTTTTTACAGTGTAGGGTAAGAGAGTAGAATAATGCTTTCCTCATGTCAGTTTTGCATTTAACTTAAAAGCAAAGTTTTAGCTAAAAATGTCACTCATAAATATGCTGTCTTTGCCCTCTGTTATGGTTTGGCCTTATGTTTTAGCAAGACATCTGACACCCAGAGCAAGAGATATGCACCTTCTGTTTCTCTCAAAATTTATGCGAAACTTGGCATTTCTTTTATTTTATTTTACAAAAATGACAATAAAGTGTACATTTCATTTATGTGAATGAGCTTCCACTTTGTTGCACATAAGTCCCCTATGTAAACATCATCATGTAAAACAAACAAACAAACAAAAATGTCAGTTGCTAAACAAGAATGTCAGTTGCATGCCTTGGGCCCTTGGCTATTTTCTTTTCCCCCTCACTTTTTATTTGGATTTTCTCCACATGAACAGACTGTATCATACAATTACAGATACTATTATTGACTGATATCATTAGCTACATATACACATACGGTATAACCATTAATATGTATATGTATTCTGTCTCTTTTGTTCATAAAAAAGTCCAGGTGGACTTTTCACAGGAAACAAAAATAGAGAAGGGAGAAAATTAAATTATAACAAGAGTAGATATAGTATGCACAAGAACAGCAACCATAAAAAAAAATAACAAATGAAGTAACAATATTAACCATATAATATAATAATGGTTGTAATAGGTTGTAAATGGTTGAATAGCTAAATGGATAAATAAAAGACCACTTGGTTATTTTCCTGTGCTCATCATGATTTTCTTCATTTTAGCAGAGCTAGAAGTGAATCAGTGCCCAAGTGCTTTACTTAAATGTTTCAAATGACTCAATTGGACATTGCGTTCTCTTCACACCCACTGGGAAAGAATATGAGTTTAGTAAAATCTTCCAAATTGGCATGCCAAAATGCCTTACAACATAGCAGCGTCATCCTGTTTTGTGGTTGGGATTTTATATTTCTTAGTTCAGGATCAAATTTTCAAGTGAATTAGGCCAGAAATATTTCTTATGGGCAAATATGAAACTGTATTTTGGATTATTTATGTTAAAAATATATGCTTTTGTCGTTATGAGAATGGCATTATTTAGTCGTTGGAGTCTGAATTGTCATCCCTAAACTTTTCACCCTAGTAGCTGTGAATAAATACAAAAGAATAAAGGTGAGAGAGGCTGGAAGAAGCTTGTTGTGGAGTCAGACAGGAGGACTATGAAGGAGTGTTTGGGTGTGTTAACTCAGAGGTGTGGAGGAGACGTGCCAGCAGGTGATTAAGCATAATACCACCAATTTCAGTACAAAATATCCAAACTATAATGCTGAAAAATTACAGCACTTTGATGTGAAGATGTACATGTGACACGATTTCACAAGATATCACAGACTCCATTAACCTAGTTTTTGTTTGTCTTTTTTCTTTTTGCTAAAGTGAAAGAAAACAAAACAAAACAAATGTAATTTATTTACATTTAGACATTTAGTAGACGCTTTTATCCAAAGCAACTTACAAACGAGGACAATAAAAGCCATCAAAATCAACAAAAGAGCAATGATATACAAGTGCTATAACAAGTCTCAGTTAGCTTAACGCAGTACACGTAGCAAGTTTTTTTTTTTTAAATCATATCATAAATAAAAAGAAAACGGATAGAATAGAAAAAGAATAGAGCAAGCTAGTGTTAGAGACCTTTTTTGCTTTTGTAAATTGTATAATAAATAAAAAGGAAAACAGAGATAGAATACAAAAACATTAGAGAAGCAAGTGTTAGTTTTTTTTTTTTTAAGAAAACAAGCAGTAAATAAATAGAGTGCATGTCTAAAAGGGGCAAGTTTATTTTTATTTTTATAAAGAATAGAATTAGAATAGAGAGTGCTAGAGTTAGAGGCTCAAATAAAGATGCAAGAGATTTGTTTTTAGCCGATTCCTGAAGATGGACTCAGCTGCTTGGATTGAGTTGTGCAGGTCATTCCACCAGGAGGGAACAGTTAATGTAAAAGACTGTGAAAGTGATTTTGTGCCTCTTTGAGATGGCACAATAATGTGTCATTAATTTGCAGAACGCAAGCTTCTAGAGGGCACATAACTCTGAAGTAATGAATTTAGGTAAATGGGTGCAGAGCCAGTGGTGGTTTTGTAGACAAACATTAATGCCTTGAATTTAATGCGAGCAGCTACGAATAGAATTAGAATAGAGAGTGCTAGAGTTAGAGGCTCAAATAAAGATGGAAGAGATTTGTTTTTAGCCGATTCCTGAAGATGGACTCAGCTGCTTGGATTGAGTTGTGCAGGTCATTCCACCAGGAGGGAACAGTTAATGTAAAAGTCTGTGAAAGTGATTTTGTGCTTCTTTGAGATGGCACAATAAAGCGACGTTCACTTGCAGAACGCAAGCTTCTAGAGGCACATAAGTCTGACGTAATGAATTTATGTAAAGGGGTGCAGAGCCAGTGGTGGTTTTGTAGGCAAACATCAATGCCTTGAATTTTATGCGAGCAGCTAATTTTTAATTCTCTTCATCTCACAAACAACCATGAGTGTGTAATTTGTCAATTTTATTTGTTTACAGCAATTAGCAACCAGTAGCATTTTAGTATTATTGAGATACAGTTATAGTTTTGAACCATTTTTTAAAAGTAGTTTCTGTTTTCATTTTTATATTTTGTAAATTGTATTTTTTTTTCATTTTAGTAGTTTTTTTTTAGGTATGTCTATATAGTTTTGATTAATTTTTATTTCAGTTGTAGTTTTAGTCATTTTAGTACATCAAGTTGAATTCAATCAAAATGAAATTTTAATTGAATGCCTTGGCGACTAGCTGTTAATTTTTACAGTTAAAAAAAGGGAATTTTATATACAGTTAAAGTTGAATTTATTTTATATTTATTTAAATGTATATTTATATTAACATTTATTTTAATATTAACATATTTTTTATGGTTTTAATTTTAGTTTCAATTTAGCAACCTCAGAACAATAATATTTTCCGCTGTGTGGTTATTTTGAAAAATAATGTTTATTTATTAGTTTTTTTATTGGCATCTATGGTTCCTTTCCACGTGAAAAATGGTCTTCATGCTAAAAAGTGGTTCTGTTAAGAACTTATCATTAAAAGGTTCTTTGAGGAAACGAAAAGGGTTCTTTTTCCCCATTTATGGGATCTTTATTTTTTTAGAAGCATAACAAAAGTTCTTGAATTTATCCTTCATTATTATTTTTTGTCTTTATTTCAGCTACATTAAGGAAGAATTGGGTCCCTGAGTTTTTCTGTAATGATGATGCCGGCATCGGCGTCTCTGAAGCTGATCTGCTGCTTCAAGTGAGTGATGTTCAAAATACAAATGCAAATGGAAGGCAAATGACAGAATGACTTTTGAATGATACGTGGCCTGCTCTCGCTGTCTAGTAACAGGTCTGTGTCACTTTCTCCGCAGGCCCTGACTGGTTTTGTCCTGGTCGTGTCCACAGATGGCTCCATCTTCTATGCCTCGCCCACCATTCAGGACTACCTGGGTTTCCATCAGGTGAACAACTAAGCTGTTAAAAATAATTGTTTTTAATGTATAGATGTAACCCAGACCCAACTAACCAATGCAAGCGTTCTTCTCACAGTCTGACGTGGTTCATCAGAGCATGTTTGATCTGATCCACATCGATGACCGGGTCACATTCAGATGCAAGTTGCACTTTGCCCTCGACCCCGAGTCCAGCATTGATGGTTGGTATCAGTATGTACTGAATGACCTTCATTGCAATTACACACAGTGTATTTCAGTTTAAAGGAATGTTCTGGGTTAAACTCGAAGTAAACATTACATTGCACACTCCCTTTGTCCGAATATGTTTACTTTTCCACTACTTAGTATGCAAACAGCAGTATGTTAAATTAAATGAGTATGAATATGCAACATTATATACTGTATGCTGAAAAAGTTCAAAAGTTTGGAATCAGTAAGATTAAAAAAAGAAAGAAATTAATACTGTTAGTAATCAAGGATGGAAATAAATTGATAAAAAAATGACAATATAGACATTAATAATGTTTTAGAAGACTTCTATTTCAAATTAATGTTGTTCTTGAACGTTCAATTCATCAAAGAATCCTGAAAATGCTGTTTTCAATATTGATAACAGTGTTATTTTAGTATTATTTATATACCATTGTAGCTTTGGTTAAAATTAAAAAATAATTAGCATTTTAATTTTTAGTAATTTTGTGATGTGCTTTTGTATTTTTTGTTTGTTTGTTTTTAGTCATTTTTGTTTTTAGCAATTGTATTGGTATTTAATTTTTTGTACATTTCAGTTTTAGTTTTAGTTCAGTTCGATTTTTTACATTTATTTCCAGTTATTAATTTTAGAACTTATTACAGTTTTAATGGGGTTTTTTTTCAGTTACCAGATAAATCAAATAAATGCAGCTTTTGGTGAGTCAAAATCATTCAAAAATCTTACTGTGCCCAATTTTTTAAACAGTATACTAAAATATGTCATCCTAACATATAATCCTAAATAGGAATTAAGGACAGTGTATTGTGCATTTTTAAAATCAAAATGATGTCGGTGATCTTAAAAAAAAAATTGTAGGTGCATTCAGAAGAATTCAAAATAGAGATGTACTTGTACATTTCCTTAATGTGGACTGTGGCAGCTATTAACAGAACTTGCTATTAACAGCAGAATGAAGCTGAACTGTGTCCCTGGTGGATGATATAAATGTGATTTATGTAAATGTCGTGTTTAATTGCAGGGCCAGTGGGCAGTGAGAGGATTCCTCCAGAGAACTCGTCCTTCCTGGAGAGGAGCTTCTGCTGTCGTCTCCGCTGCCTTCTGGACAACTCCTCCGGCTTCCTGGTGAGACGCACAGGACCACACACAGGAATTGTAATTCAGTAATAAAAATGGAATTTACTGTATAATGTGGAATGTCATGGAATTTGGAAAATGTTGGATGAATAAATCAAATGTGTATCAAATGTTAATTTTAATAGTTCAATTTTCAATTGATTACATGTTAAAGACTATTTAAATTGTTAATGTTTTATGTCTTCATTTGATTACCTCCATTTTTATTATAAATTTGTTAAATTAAACAGATAACATGCCAGTAGGCAATGCTTTCACTCAGAAGGTTCTCTAATGGATGTAAAAAAAAAAAAAAAAAAATCTGTGTTCTTAAAGATGTTTCACCAGAAATAATCTTAAATTATCTTAAATTTAAATTATCTTACATTTTTTTGATCGAATCTTGAAATGAAAAATCTTAATGTTTGTTATACTGAAGTGAATTGGTTGTTTTTCATTACTACTATATGTTACTACTGTTTGTTTCTTTTAAAATACATTGATTTTGCCATGAAAATAGCCATAGCCATAGCCATAAACAGACAGAATTTGTGAAAAAAAATAAAACATTTCATAGGTCCCTATTATTGTAATAAAAAAAAACTGAATAAAACAGAATTGTGACCCTGGACCACAATACCAGTCATAAGGGTCAATTTCTTGAAAGTGAGATTAATACATCATCTGAAGGCTGAATAAATAAGCTTTCCATTGATGTATGGTTTGTTAGGATAGGACAATATTTGGCCGAGATACAACTATTTGAAAATCTGGAATCTGAGGGTGCAAAAAAATCAAAATATTGAGAAAATCACCTTTAAAGTTGTCCAAATGAAGTTCTTAGCAATGCATATTACTAACCAAAAATTAAGTTTTGATATATTTACAGTTGGAAATTTACTACATATCTTCATGGAACATGATCTTTACTTAATGTCCTAATGATTTTTGGCATAAAAGAAAAATCGATAATTTTGACCCATACAATGTTTTTTGGCTATTGCTACAAATATAGCCCAGCGACTTAAGACTGCTTTTGTGCTCCAGGGTCACAATTTAGAAAAAAATAAAATGGATTTCATAGGGCCCTAAAAATGTTCTTTTTGTTAAACTTTTAATAAATTATAGTTAAATTGTATTAGTTTCATGATTTAGGCAGCTAATTAGACATGCTTTTTGATTACTATAATTTAGTAGAAATTCGTGCAGAAAAACGAAAACTGAAAAAAAATCCAGAGAAAATGATTAGAGAAAAATAAAAAACAGGATTTGGGTGAAAGAAATCATTTCATAGGGCCCTACACACATGCAAAATAAAGTCATTAAAAAATGGTTCACCTTTAATGAACACAGCTTTTTTTTTGTGCACAAAGGCGCTCAATTTTCAGGGACGGCTGAAATATCTTCACAGACAAGACCGGACCACAGAGGGCAAAGCATCGGGTCTCTCAGAGCTCGCCCTGTTTGCCACCGCCACCCCCGTTCAGCCCCCTGCTCTCCTAGAAATCAGGACCAAGACCCTCTTTTTCCAGACCAAACACAAACTGGATTTTACGCCAGTGGGCATGGACACCAGGTGAGGATCCGCACTGACTTCATTACGGAGGGTATGTGTCACTGTTAACTGTTTGTTCGTGTGTCTTCCAGGGGGAAGGTGGTTCTGGGTTACACTGAGCAGGAGCTGTGCATGAGAGGATCTGGATATCAGTTCATCCATGCTGCTGACATTATGTACTGCGCTGACAAACACTTACGCAGTAAGATTTCACTCGCATTCTAGCGCACCGTTGTTCTGAACACATGTACTTGGATGTTCTGAGGTTCGTGTCTCTGTGTTACAGTGATGAAAACAGGAGAGAGCGGTTTCTCCATCTTCAGGCTCTTGAGTAAGACCGGCGTGTGGATCTGGGTCCAGGCCAACGCTAGAATGGTGCTCAAGGCAGGCAAACCCGACTTCATCATCTGCCATCAGAAACCGTTGACGTGAGTGCTCTTCACTTCCTCTGACACTCACAGCTGCTCACTTCCTGCTGTATTTCTGTATATTCACTATATTTTACATAGGTCTGGTTTTTGGTCAATTTAACAGTTAAACGTTTCTTCTTTTTTGCTGGTTATATAAGCTTTTTTATCAAAATATTAAACCATTTTTTAATCATTTCTAACATTTTTAATGGTTTTATTCCTGATTTTACTTTAAACATGTAAAAGCATGGAGTTTTGACTGTATAGACCATAGTATCAGCCATCATATTGATTATCAGCCATAACAAAAATAATTATCAGCTATCAGCACAGGCTATATTTAACCCCAAAATTAAACAGAATCATTATTATAATGCAAAATAAATAAATAAATAAATATCATGTGTTTACATTATGGTAGTGATGTGTTGTACTTCATGCTGATTAAATGTACATATATAAATGATATGATATAAATGATATTACATATACATATATATATACAGTGGGTACGGAAAGTATTCAGACCCCCTTCAATTTTTCACTCTTTGTTATATTGCAGCCATTTGCTAATATATATATAAAATAAATAAATAATGAATAAATTCTAAATTAGTAATACTAAATTCTTAAACATCATTAAGAATAAAGAATAAGAGATTTGGGCAAAACAACCCAATAGCTGGGTCAAAACAACCCAACCGCTGGGTCTTTTTTGAGTGTATGAGGTGAGATTCACCCAAACATCAGTTTGATATATTTTATAGGCCAATCTGATTTATTTAAGGCTTTATTTTTGTAAAGCCCTTTGAGCATCAGTATGCTTTTATAAAAACAATCAGTTTCACTATTTTATTGAACCTGTAGAAATTAAGAAGGCGAGGAGCAACTCCGTCAAAGGCAACTGCAGCTTCCCTTCAACTTTGCGACTGGAGAGGCTCTCCTGTACGAAACCTCCCCCTCTCTGATGATCCCGGGGCTGCAGGATCATCCATCCAGCAACGCCGTACATCCCGACTCCCTCCTGGGCTCCTTACTGAGTCATGACCTCTCCGTCTACAACCGGCCCCCGGAGCCAGCGTCTCACTTCTCTCTGAAGGACGTCTTCATGGACAGCCATGCCCTGCTCAGCGTTCCCAACAGCATCCGATGGGATTTCACCTCCCAGGCCATGCCAGACTCTCCAGACATAGTGACAGAGTCCTTAAAGAGCAGCTGAAGGAAAAGGAAGAAGCTCTACTGCAGCTACAGGAAGAGGAACCCATCCAACTCAATGACATTCTGGCCAATGATGTTTTCTCATATGTCGAAGACGCTCTGTTGAGAGAGACTTCAGCCAGAGGCATCAACCAGAACATGTTAAACGGTCCTACATCTCAAAGTGACACCACTGGGCGGCAACAAAACTCTGTGTTGCCAGGCAACCAGATAATGAGATGTGAATATTCATCATCTCATTCAGGCCAATGATGTTTTCTCATATGTCGAAGACACTCTGTTGAGAGAGACTTCAGCCAGAGGCATCAGCCAGAACATGTTAAACGGACCTACATCTCAAAGTGACACCACTGGGCGGCAACAAAACTCTGTGTTGCCAGGCAACCAGATAATGAGATGTGAATATTCATCATCTCATTCACAGAAGCTCACAGAATCGGACTTTTACGGACAAAAAGCACCAGAAAGAGAATGTGCAAATGACTCGCTGGACCTTTTTGGCACTCTGAAATCTTTCCCACATCCTCCAAACTCCTGTAATTCTATTCCAGGCCATTTTTCCATCCCATTTCATAATAATCACTCTTCCTCTATAGAAAAGACTGGCATGGTGTTGTCAGATCCATCCCAAAACAATCCTCTTTCTCAAAGTGTCCCCAGTCGGCCGTTTTCCGTAAACATCCAGCATGCTGTTCACCGAGGCACCCTGCCGCCATGGCAACCACAGCAGCATGCCATCCCATTAACCCTGCAGAGATCCCACTGTGTTCAGAATGGCTGTGTTACCCACAATCCACCTGTATCGCAGCACCCACAGGACATTTAGTCACAAACAGAACTGTGCAGCCCATATACAATGAATCACAGTCAGAGAAGCCACATATCCCAGAATTCATCATTGTCCAGTCCTCTAATGAGCCTTTTTCCCGGTTACACATCCCTGGATCTATGGATACGGACTGCAGCTGTGCCTCCTGTCCCGGGACATCTGGACTGAGCCATTATTGAACAGTATAAACACTCTGATCTGATTTAATCATCTTGAGTGTGACACTCAGGGTCCATATTAACATAGCATGAATAAAATCGTAATTTAAGGAACCTAAAATTGACTTGAACAAACATTTGAGGAGCAAAATCACATCATGGTGAATCCTGGGATGCTTTTTAAATACTATTGAAGAACTTCACATGCATACTGGACAATTGATGATGCTTGTTCACTATCTGCTCCAAAATTATTTAGAAATGTTTGTACATGTGATCATCAAAGTAGCATGTTTTGTTCTGTAAAGAAAGTCATACGTAGACCAGTACTGTTGTTGTTAACTAAAATGAATAGACACCATTTTCTTTATTAAAATTAAGCTTAAATGAAATAAAATATTCGATGAAAAACTAGCATTAGAAATGTTGCAACTAACTGAGATTAAAAAATGTTTAACTTGAAGAACTAAAACTACTGAAACTAAAACGGACATAAAAATTAAACTACATAGAAATAATAAAAAACAAATAAAATGTCAAAAGTACATAATAAAAATATTAAAACAAACTAAAACTAGTTAAAATTAAAAATATAAAATAAAGGTTTATTCAAAATTAATAAATATTAATAGCCTGTCCTGTGACATGCATACTGGACAATTGATGATACTTGTTCACTATCTGCTCAAAATTATTTAGAAATGTTTGTACATGTGATCATCAAATTAGCATGTTTTGTTCTGTAAAGAAAGTCATACGTAGACCAGTACTGTTGTTGTTAACTAAATGAATAGACACCATTTTCTTTATTAAAATTAAGCTTAAATGAAATAAAATATTCGATGAAAAACTAGCATTAGAAATGTTGCAACTAACTGAGATTAAAAAATGTTTAACTTGAAGAACTAAAACTACTGAAACTAAAACGGACATAAAAATTAAACTACATAGAAATAATAAAAAACAAATAAAATGTCAAAAGTACATAATAAAAATATTAAAACAAACTAAAACTAGTTAAAATTAAAAATATAAAATAAAGGTTTATTCAAAATTAATAAATATTAATAGCCTGTCCTGTGTATTTTGTAATGAAATAACGCAAAAAAAAAAAAAAAAAATTCCATGTTCTGATGCATCTGTCTCTCTGAAGTCCAGCATCAGTCCCTGAGGATCAGAGCAGATGCTTCTAGACGTCTCTGTTTTCAGCTCCTACATCCGTTTCATTCATCTTGCATTGTTTTATTGTTCTTTACTTTAATGACAAATTGTGTTTGTTTACAGATAAATAAAAAATGTCATTCAGTACATCACATTTTTTTCCTTTCAACACTGACCACAGTTTCTTTTGCTAGTTTGCAGTTGGGCTTTGAGATAGATCATAGATGCTGCACTAAAATGATTGATAATGATCATTTGTTTAATAATTTGGTTAATTATGCCATGTCATTTTTGCAAATTGATGCAGTGGTCTCTTAAAGGAATAGTTCACCCAAAAATGAAAATTTGCTAAAAATTTACTCAACCTCAGCCGATCCAAGATGCATATTGGTTTGTTTGTGCATCAGAACAGGTTTGGAGAAATGTATCATTACATCACTTGCTCACCAGTGGATCCTCTGCAGTGAATGGGTGCCGTCAGAATGAGAGTCCAAACAGCTGATATAAACATCACAATAATCCACAAGTAACCCACACCACTCCAGTCCATCAGTTAATGTCTTATGAAGCAAAAAGCTGCATGTTTGTAAGAAACAAATCCATCATTATGATGTTTTAACTTAACCGGTGCTTCTGGCCAAAATACTAGCCCATAACACTTCCTCCAGTGAAAAAGTCCTGTTTTTCTCTCACATCAAAACTAACCCACATATTTGTTTAGAACTGTTTTGGTTTGCAAACGGCACTTGATCTGTGCAGATTTCTCCCGATTCAGATGAGACGACCTGATAGCAAAAGCAAAAGGTTTGATAATCTAAATATCCATCCCTATGCTGAGAAAATATTCAGAATTTATCTTCATATCACGTTAATGGATGTAATCAACACATTCATCGGGTTAACATACTTTACTTCATATGCAGGAAATGCAGAACACATTTCAATAACGTGCCTTAAACAGTGTAGGTTGGATTGCTGTAGGTCACGTGTTTGTGGTTTTAAGCAGAACCTCCATGACAACAAACAAATTAGTGGTGAGTTTTCTATGAGTTGACGCTCATATTCTCACACAGGATACACTAAACGATCAATATATGACTAATACATTAAACTCTTGCATAGTGGTTTATTTAAGACTAAGAGAGCAGTGACTCCGTCTGCTCAAACTCTTACTGGCTGCATTTCATTCATTTCAAGTCGGTTTTGCTCAGGTTTGTCTTGAATGAGGGATTATTTTGCAGAAATATAATATCAGTCGAGCCTAGTCCTTCATTCAGTGCTCTCACGCAAGAAACATAAAACTCCCTCCACTGCTGTGGTACAAATATGGTCTCATTACCTTCCCTTGTCCTCCGTTTATATAATTATTATTATAACAGCACCTGTTCGTGCTCTTAATCTCTGTATGTTCGCTAAAGTCTGGAGCAGGGTTGCCAGGTTTTCACAACAAAACCCTCCAAAGTGCTACTCAAAACTAGGCCAAAACTGGCCCAATCGCGTTCAGGGGCGAAAATACACCTAAAATACAAATTTTTGGCAGGTTTTTGCATCCCAGGGGCTAGTTATCAAGTTAATGGGGTCGCTTCAACCCGCGGCATCCGTGTCAAAGTAGCCCAATTCCGCTGGAAAATCCCGGACTTGGCAACACTGGTCTGGAGCTCATTGCATGTTTAGTAGCCGATATCTGATTCAGATAAGGCCTGCAACTTGAATAATCACAGTTTCACACTTATGGATGTGTTCATGTGTGTTATTAGAGAGCGCGTCGCACACAGTTCTAAAAGTATTGCATTCAGTGCTGGGAAAGTGTGAAATCCTGCTAAACAGGTTCTTATTATTCAATACAACGGTCAATGGCATCACCTAGTGGTGAAAACACTGGAAATTAATCAAGATAAGTGTGCAATTGAATACAAGCATGCTGTTTAAAAATGAGATAAAAACTGTCAAATAGAATTTTAATGTGTTGCTGTCACATGACCACACTATGTTGCACGTTTAATTCAGCGAGTGACTTCCAGTTATACATTTTGGCAGTCCAATAGCCTATAACTAAATAAAGGTCTTGCACATATGTATGCAAGTACTCGTGACATTTGCATACTATGCGCAGTATAGACATACTATATACTCCATAAATAGCGCATGTGGTATGATCCTGTAGTGGTCCACAGGTTGGTTTGTCGCAGTGGCTTTTAATCAAGGCATGTTGTGCTCCTCTCTGTAGGATGGTCAAGGACATTGTCTTGGGCTGAATGGATTTGCTCTGCGTGATAAAGGGCTGAATCTGCTTTGTCTGTGATGGAGATCAGGAGGTCACAGCTCTACAGGAATGATCATCCACAGGTTCACATCACAAAACCCACCCACTTCCAATCGGATCAATCACACTGTACTGCAGAGAAAGAGAGAGTGATGTGACTGCATAGATAGATAAATAGAAAGATTGCTAAGGTTTATTGCTAGGGTGTCACTAGTTGGTTACTGCGGTATTCTGGGTGGTTGCTATAGGGCATTGCTACACTCAAAAAAAATGCTGGGTTAAATACAACCCAGCGCTGGGTAAAATATGGACAAGCCCAGCGATTGGGTTGTTTTCAACCAACAGTTGTGTTAAATGTTTAACCCAACCTTCTGGGCAGTAACTCAACCGCTGGGTCAAAACAACCCAATCGCTGGGTTTGTCCATATTTTACCCAGCACTGGGTTGTATTTAACCCAGCATTTTTTAGAGTGTATGTGGTTGCTATAAGGTGTTATATGTTATTTCTTTAATAATGCTGTTTTTGCATTTGTGATTAGTCACAAACAACATTATAAAATAACAGTGTTGTTACTGTTAACTAAAACTATTAAAAATAATTTTCGGTAATTGAAACAAAGCTAAAATAAAATAAAATAAAAAATATTAGATGAAAACTTAAACTTAAAAACTTAAATGAAAATTAGAAATGTTGCAGAGGCAGCTAATTGAAATAAGTGAATGACTAATGCTAAAACTGAAATGAAATTAAAGCTATATAGCAATATTTAAAAAACAAACAAACAAACAAATATTTGTCATGTGTATTAGTTT